CAGCACAGTAACCCTCACTGACGCATCAACATCCCTGATCACCGCAGGTAGTCCAATAGCTGTCACATAGACTCCAGTTCCGTGTTTTTCTGTGTTCTTCAGAGATATTGAGCTCTCCCTGACCGTAGATTGTAGATTAAATGGGGTTCCTAAGTTGCATTAACATGGCTAACCCATGTTCGTCATAAAATGTTCAAGATCCTGTCAGAACTAATTACTGATAGAAAACTACGTAATATGGTCTTGAACATGCGCGCTCGCAAGTTATCGCAACAAGAGCCTCGACGCCCAGCGTTGCAGTCTCCAGGCCGTATAGCGTCGGCCTCGCGGCTGTAACACTAAGCGATGGCCAATGAGCAAGGGAAAAGATGACGCATGTTAGGGGAGATGGCTGGTAAGTCAGGCAAATTGACATATATGTTTAATGCAGTGCAAAAGTAAGCCAAACACAACCTTTTTCTGAAAAGTGGGGGCCAGTTAACGCTGCTGACCCCCCACCTTAAGAAGTGGGGGATGGCCCTCGCCCCCCCCCCCCCCCCCCTGTTCCTATGCCCATGCATGTAGGTACTGCAGTATGGCGATAAATGGACAGTTATTGCCCATTTATAAATTCAATGTAACCATTACACATGATATCCATTTATTTACAAATAAATACACATTTCACAAAGTGGCACTGCATATCAACGTTCAGCCCCGTTTACTACGACGAATGTGGGGCGGTTTCTGAACCTAGAAAACGCGGTTTAGAAGGATCTATTTTTGGAAATAGATCGTTGTATTGATTTGTCTTTAGAAGGTTTGAAATGCAAAATGTATTTCTGCTCACAAAACATTAAAACAAACATGCAGAATAGGATTGCTACCAAGTCATTGGCGAAATCCCCATTCGGTATCATGTTACTAGTATCTACCAACCTTAGCGTAGTATCAACCAAGAACCACAATACGGGTTACCAAACTTTTGTCCCATAGTGACGTCATGTCTGCGTAGGCTTCTCTAGTAGCCTTGGATATCCCCGTAGCGCATCTCGAGACTGCAACAGCTGCAGTTGTCGCGACCATCTTCGTCACGACAACCGCCGTCATGACGACGGCGGAATCTGCTCAAAGCTATTGTCAGCTGTTACGAGTTAGAGGTACCACTTTTGAGCTCTTTTGGCCCACACATTGTGGGCTTATGGGCTTAAAAGTAGCACCCCTATTGGTATGAATGACGTTAATGCAAGTGAATGTTGGTGATTGGCATAGAGGGCAGCTAGGGTCAGTTACGGAGAAGTGCACTGGTTGAAGTTTGAATTAGTGCGAGACTTTAGGCCCTAGAGGAGAAATAAAAGCCATAGCATGACGTTTCGTTGAAGTCACGAATCAAAGCCTTATGTTTGCATATTTTTTTTCTAGAAATACTGCCATAGCCTTTGTAACATTTATCACACAAGCATTTTAACAAATTAGTGTGTTGCAAATGTTACAGAACACAAAAGTTGGAAAGAGCAAGCCAAGTGCAATGTGTTACTTGCATATTGGTGAACAGGGAGTCCAATAGATGTCTCCCACAGGAGCAGCCACTTCAAATAGAAATTCTGAGCGATTCAGACGGGTTTCGAGAAAACGGGCGCTACTGCAAATAGAATGAGTGAAAACCTCGGAAAGACGCCATCGCCCCTCTGAACCAATGGTCGCTCCTACCATACGTACTGACTTACGACCCGACGCAACCCCCGACTGTCGGCGTTTCCCATTCCACAGATGCGGAGAGCGGTGCGGGTATGTCCTGATCCGCAACAGTGTGAGCATAGTCTCGCTAGAATGGCCCTCATTTCCCGTGGGAATGCACACCCAGAACACAGAGTGATATCTGCCGCTTCTCGATGTAACGCAGCAATAGGTTTTGCGTACAAGATGCAAGAGGGCAAAGCAAACGAAATACGTCTACGTGAAACACCATTTTATAGACGACGATGTGTATAAAGAACTCAATGCCACTGTACGATCGGGTAATATGCATAGCCTTAGGGTAGCGTGGACTAGTGATCCTAACTTAAAGTCCTTGCTAGTATGATGTGCGCTAGAGACCTCAATATGTCCAGGTGGGGGTAGGATTTCTCAACATGTGTGAATGCACTAAAAGAGAAATACATGCGAAAGAACGCAATATACGATATATCCTATAACCTTTACTCAGGAATGGTTTATGTAGGAGAAACAAAGCCATACATTCATGACCGGTTTAATGGGCACATTGGGAACGCGCGTTTACACAAAGCGTATGCGCCAATGGGAGAACACGGTAGGTCGACGCGCAGCAGTGGGGCAAAGCGTTACAATTACCAATTAAAAGTTGAAATTTTAGCAACAGCCTAAGACAAAACGGACATCAAGATGGTAGAATCGCTACACGTTAGGAATATTCGCCCCAGGCTAAACGCGCAGTTTCATCATGGGACCTGGATTGAGCAACATTCTGAGGTTCAGGCGATGTTCGTGCAGGCTAATCTGTGGCTGCCAATGAGCGTATCTAATATTCCACTTCGGACTTTGCAAACCCACCGGTTTCGTTGCCGGTGTGTATTTTTGCAGCCTTTAACGCTGAACTGCAAGTGGACGTTTGAAGCTCGGATGATGCACCTTTTCTGACACATCCTAGTGCCGGCGTCTGCACAGATTAGGGGCATTTCCCGGATTCACGCGTCTTATCTTTCATTTTTAAGAACCTTTCTGAGCCGTTGTCACTCTTGGTCAATCTTGAGGATGAGCACAGCTTGAGATAGCAGGCAACGTCAACAGAGTCGTTATATGACACCGCACCCGCTTAACGGGCACGGGTGTACTGAAGTCCATTAACCTAGCTATATTAGGGTACACTCTAAGCTGCACCATTTATCAGTAATGCAAATAAAACGTCTGAGCGTCAGGAAAACGTCAGTTTCTCAGCAGATATCACGGTGGATGCTGACCTCGAACAGGCCGACCCGGCACAGGTGAATATCGGGCACTGGGTGTTTACGTTAGAGCATTATAAACGCACGGCGCCGGCTTCTTCGCCTGTCTTTCTGTAGCATCGTCCGGATTTGTGTCAAGTACACACGGTTGTTGCATGCTTTTTATGTTCGTCATCATCATGGTCTGCTCATTTCAGTAGAAACACAAATAAAGCACTAAAATGCGATGATAGAAATACAGATTTTATGGCTGTTCGGCCTACCGGAAATCAAAATTAAGGTCTGATGATTAACACGGTACCGTTCAAGGCCTGATAGCCATATTATGCCTTCTTTTGGTGCGACCAACTTCGAACTCTGAACATGTTGCTTATGTTTGCGCTTTTTTATATCCATTTTAGTATAAAAACTTGGTAGCGCTAAGCCTCGTTTGCAACAAAGATTTGTGTTGTAAAACTTCGCAAGGAACAAATTAAATCTTCATATCGTGAGAACTGGTGTGTGTAGAACTACGCATGCGCCCATCCGTTTGCACACAGCTATTTGCGTTCACAAAACTTTGCATACATATTGATTCATTTTGGTTCATTTTGCATTTCGTTGACAATATGTGTGTAGTTTCTTATTCAGTTGTGGTTTCCAGTCCCTCGAACCTTGATTCCAGCTCCCCTTTAAAGCAATACGTTTCGCCATTTTTCAGTCATTGGGCATCCACTCATCAACCATCCACTCAACATCCCCCCCCCCCCCTCCTTCCTGTGTGACAATGTAATAGTTAAATGCTCCAGTCCAGTGGATAAGCCAGCGTAGAAGGTGAAAGGCAATACAAATAATGGCAAGTAATATCGTGTCGGCGAAGAAATGTGCAAACGAAACTTTGTGGATAGAGTCTCTGCACATGCAAGCATTTGTGTGCAAACATATACATTTACATGTTTGCAATGCGAATATCTGCTCCAGACATTTGAGATGCGAAGCACTGCAAAACGAAGGTTTGTGACTTAAATTTCGTGCACAGTTCACTGAAAAATTAACGAAGTACCGGTGCGAAGAAACGCCACGGGAAGACGCTCGATGCGACGTTCCGCCTGGCGACCGTGCGGTACACCTGCCACCCTACTAATGGCAACATGTCTTATGACAAGTGATGAATGAATTGCGCCTTGCCGCTGCAACAAACCAGCCGGATGGTGAAGTGGCGGTGAACAAAAACACAGTTAACAGAGGTATTTTGATTGGATGTCAAATGTCGTTTAGTGTCACTGTGTTATGCATGGTGAGATGTTAATGACTGGTTACACGATTTCTGCTCGTTCGGTCTGGTTCAGCGCTTGGTAGAAGTTGACTCGAACCTTTTCTCTTTGATTTTCATGTATTTGATTTGAACTGTTCATTACATTGCCCCATTGGCATCGGGCAGCCTCTGAAGGGAGGCTTTTTAACCGATTGCTGGACAACGTGCAAATAACGAATGCATCAAACATTTCGGGTGCCCTCACAAAATAACTGAGACCCTGTTTTCAGCTGCGTTTCCACCGTTCCATGTAGGCTTCATCCCGGTGATGACAACTGACACATTTTAATCAAGCCTGCGTTAAATGTCAATTTTTTGTTCACAATCGGTTTCTCAGGCATACCGGAGGCCTTAAAGTTTGTATGGGAGGCAACAGAAGTACTCCGTGCCACGCCCAGCCCAATCGCCTGCCGCAGTTGCACACCACTGGAACCGGACCGCTGGCGAGCTGGCGCGGTCGGTCATTTCGTTTGTCACCGCCGTAACTGACCGGACTTTTTCGGACGGCCGCGACTGCCCGGTCTCGCGCCGCGCATTTCTTCGCCGCGTCTTTCACCACCGACATGCCGGCAGCTGCTCCAAGCATACTCCGGGGCCCTTTTCCTGGGCGCGGGGGCGCAAAAACTGGACGTTTGCGGCGCGGCATTTCACCGGCCGCTGCACGGTCGCTGTCCGAAAGTGGACCGAAGTCCGCTTGTACCTGTCGCGTATATAACGAATCGAGGCCAGGATACGGCCACCAGTTGCAGCCCAGGCGCGAGGACATGCAGGCCACTTACAAGGTGAGAGGGCACGTGTGGGGGCGGCTGTGGGCCGCACAGGTTGAAGGATAGTAGTGGTTCTACTTAAAACGATAAATCCGTGGACCGTCGTCATTTGCTTGCGTACCGGGCGCATCCGCCACAAACGCCCTCCCAATATACATCGCAGGCTTTAGATGTCCCACCTATTCAGGTTAAGTTCTTGGTTTGCAGGATGCTCACATAGGATTGACAACTGTAGGGCAACGAAGGACTTAGTGACCAATCGACCAGTTGATTAGTTGACCGAAATCTGATCATATCAGATTTTGATCAGATAGCACGCTTTAAACATTTCAGAGTATTTTAGTTTGATTATTCCATCAGACCGGCAACCGCTCGGTTGGATGCCATAGGACAAGTCTCGATAAATTATGTCCGAATGGGCGTGCCTGGTAAACCACTAAAGGGACAAGACATGGTGAACCTATCCTCCAGAGTCTGAACGTTTGAGTGCGTGACAAGCTGCGGCGTTTCGCCTAGATTGCCAAGAGATCCAGATTGCAATGGCTGCCCGCACTTTCCGTTACAATTCGCCGGCAAAGTTTTGGCCTCAGGGTGGCGAATAGGAGCTAATGCCGCTTAATAATGCAGCTGACGATAATCATGCCAACCAATATCCACCGTCTCGCACGCTGGGAAGGTACTAACGTGACATTTTCTGACGCGTTGGATGGTTCACGGATCGCTTGAACTCGTTGGCAAAGGGTGGACGAAGTGAAAATTTTCAAGGTAAGAATTACAAATTCCTCAGCTACAAATTTCAGTCGCATTTTAAATCAATGATCGGACCATTTGGACGAAACGTTGTGGGTCTTTACTAAGCACCCTAAAGTCAATGCCATTTCCATACGATGACCCGCCCAGCATTATATATTTGTTCATTACAAGCCGATTCTCCTACGCTTGGCACGAGTAATCAAGAGCTTGGTCGCAGGCTGACAGAGCCTGGGCATCAGCTGAATGAAAATGTTGCGCCTCCAGCTGCCCAGCTGGAGCCGCAACAACCAGCCCAGTCAGCGACACTTTGGCGAGCTCACATCTTTGTAACTGATTGCAACTAATCTTACTAGCATGAGTTTTCAGTAACAAGTAGCAAAACTATTTTAAGTTATGGTATGGTATTTTCAAAGCATCTGATCAACATCCCAGGAGGGAGGAGGTGGTGGGGTTAAGCGGCCGCCGGCAAGGTTTTTTTCTGGAATAACGTCTGGCCGATTTTTAGCAAGTTAACGAAGTTTTGACAAGCTGAGTTGAATCGTTTGTACACATATGGCATTTTTTGAAATGTCTGACCCTGGCATCTTGTGACCAGTGGTATGATTCTCGAGCTCAAGCTGGTGGTTTATTGCTCAAAAGTGACATATAATGCTTATTTTTAGCAGAATATAAACTCAGAAGAAATTTGCCTAGACTGGTATTCTTGACTTCATTTATCTGAAACGCATTACGATCGTTCTGCCTACTTTTAAATGTCAGTTCATCCGATATCAAGCAAGGTCAAATGTTGACCTTTGTAAGTAGATGAGATTATTCAAAATTTATACGATTTAAGGTTTAACACGCCCCCGGCCGGCCGGTTGAATGCCCTTCGCCCGGGTAGGGATTAATTTGACGTCCCTGAGATCTCAAGAACGAATAGATCTAGAGACACTAAATCACAGGGTCTGTTGACCTTTACATGAACTGACTAAGGTTAAATTTTTAGGCCCCTAAGCTATGACATTCAGGTCAAATAAGGTCAAATAGGGTCAAAATCCAGATTGGCCTCCAAAGTGCCCCCAGAAGCTAGAAAGGTGTTCTGAGCAGGAGGTCACGAGCTCATTTAAGGTCAGTGACCTTGTTTGATCTTTCGAAGGTCATGATGACCAACATCATACAAGAGTGCCTTATGTTTTGATTTGAGTGAGCGACAAAGATTATACTGAGCAGTATGTTCATAAAAACAAAATGTTGACCCGTACCATTTTAGGCCAGTGACCTGTTCTGACCTCTAAAAAGTCCATGAAAGATGCATAATACGGTTCCTGTAATCAACAAATTTGAAATGGGCCCCAGAAACTATCCCACCCAGCAAACCATAGATAAATAAAACAGGTTGATTTTAACCTTGGTCTGACCTTCGTATCTGATCCTAGGTCAACGGAATTTGCTCATTCAATTGCTGTACTGCCTAAGAAAGTATTTCAGAGATGTATGACTTTGTCTGACCCTAGAAATTGACTTCGCTAAATCCATGGCTTGACTTTGACCTGCCGCAGGTCAGCGATCTTACAAGGTGCATCTAGACTTTTGATACCAGACCATTTTTTATTCAGCTGTTTACATCTATGTAAAATTTGGCGGGGCTACGCCGTGCTGTTCGGAAACCATTCCGGAAAAACCTTTGGGTGGGTCAATTTGATCCTCCACCCGAGCACGTGTTAAATGCACATATCTTTCACCTTTAAAATGTCTTTCTCATGCCATTTTCCATTGATGTGACCTGTTCAGTGCTTTCCATAGCCAAAGGATCAATACAACAATAACCTTCACCCCTCTGACCTGAAAAGATATATCACAGGTCATACCTGCCGATTTTCCTCTAGTGTTCATCTGATAGAGGTTCCCAGAGTCATTTAACGCTGTTTTTCATTGCCGTAGCATACTGATTTCTTAAAATGGCAGGAATGGTCTACAACAGGTTTATTTGACCCATACGACCGGATTTAAACTGTAAAAGGTCAAATTCGCTCTTGTTGAGGTGCACATGGAGGACGATGCTTGACGAACGCTTCCAATGCCCTCATCTGCCGCCTGTATGGTTTCTGCCAGATCCTAGCAGTCAGAGCCAGCATAGACGAGAAACTTCCTGTGCGCTGCAGGCGAGCGTGTCGTTTATGAATCGTTAAACGACCTCAACACCCCTCGTACACTGTTCGTCAGTAATGCACTCGGAAACAGCCCCTGTCACGTTCCGAAACCGGTCTCAAACGCAAGAAGCTGAGGCTGAAACAAAGCCAGATTGGGCCATGAAAGAATGAAAGCTGCATGGGCACATAGGTTACTCCATTGAGGCTAATATTCACTCAAATATCAGTGTTTTCCAAATGCTTTCGTAAGTCGCCAAAAATCTAAACGTCTCCCTCCGCAAAGTTGTGCTCGGATGCTCAACACCGACGCATCCTCACCTGGCAATGTGTGAAAGGAGAAGGAATTTTCCTGTCCATATGGGTACCAAAAGGTGACAGGCTCTACTCACTCATGTACAAGGGCTAAAAACGACTTAAAAGATATACTGAAATAAACTGACTTAAAAAAATGGGTGAGCCATCGATGCATGCTTCACGTGCTACCGCCAAACACCTTTTGCTTCGTGAGTCCTACACGCAGGCCAAACCGTCCCATCTGAGGATGGAAACTGTGCTGACCTGGTCGGGGTGAGGGCCGAAGCTGTAATGGGGCTGCTCTCGCTCAAAATAATATATATTATGTTAAAGGGCATTGGTATTAAGCCCCGCTTTGCCGATCATTTGACATAAGTAAGGAGGGAGAACCCTCGACTCGGCATGCTGGGTTCTTATGCTGCAAACCACTAACCTACTTTAGACTAGGTGGCATTACTTCAGTGAATATATGAAGCAAAAATTGGGATATTTAATGGGAGTACTCCAAGAGAGTAAACAATGGGATATATTATCAGCATTCTCAAAATATTCTCCAAAGGCCTTTTGATATCCTTGTTTAGCCAATTCATCCTAGCATATCGCTTGTTGACCTCGATCGTTGATGTTGATATTGCTGTTGATCGGTGGTTTTCAGCATAAGAATTTATACTATCAGATTAGCAGCATCATTAGATGAGATGTCTCGAATGCAATGAGAAATGAATTTCATTTACGCTTTCTATTATCAGAAGCTAATAAGTCAGGGTAAAATGATGACAACCTCGTCAAGAAGCAAAACCTTAATTAGCGACTGAATATATTGATGTGTGGGTCAGTGGCTGCACCATCAATTTTTGATTTTCTGTGGAAAAAGCAACACAGGTGTTAATTTGTACGACGTTGTCGAGCACTTTCCTCTGCAGATGAGGCCCGAAGATATTTGTGTAAACGGCTAAGGGCATCTTTTTATGTGACACTGGAAGTAACTGACGCTTTCGAGAGGCTCGATAAGTACTTATCATCAATATAACAAGATGCGTCCTCTATGCGTCCGTCATTACTTGATGGCATGACGACGTTTGACACGTCTATTCGTCACAGAAATAACGACAAAAAAGAGTGGCATATCAGGGTAGAACAGGTTTCACATGCTGGCAAGAGTCAGTGACTTTTTTTAGGTGTTACCCAATATCACGGCCTCAGCGACTGGCCGTTGGCGCAACCAGACATCATGCTTTTAACATGTCGAACAACTTTCAGATGAAATCAGTTATCACCAAAGAAATATACACTGGACTGAGCCACTTCGTCAGCAAAGCCGGCGAGCTGAAGAGAATTGTGAAATACATATTGAGCATCTAACGATCAATCGTATGAAAATTATGAAAGATGGATAACGGAGAGGCAAGAAATCCCACACTCGCATCATCCGATGCAGCCTGATGAAAATGATCATAAGCTACGTGTACGTTGTCGTGTAATTCCTCCCCATGCTTCCCCTGTGCGCTCTGCACTTCTCGCCGCACCGTGTGTCTGTGTCACGCGCGGCTTCACGTACCCGACTAGAGACTGACTATGGCCGGCTGACAGACGACCGACTTGTGCGCCCCCCAGGTGCTGCTCGCGTCACTAACCCTGACTGCCGCCACCGACGTTCGACCCGACACCCATGACTTGACCTCGGGTCAGCTGGCGGCCGGCGGCGACCAGTACGCTGCTGCCAGCTCCATCGGCCCCAGCCACGTCAGCGTCGGGCCCAGCTACCCAGTTCACAACTCTGGTTACGGCGGTGGCTACGATAGCGGCTACGGCGGCAGCTACGGTGGTGGCTACGGCGGTGGCTACGGCGGCCACGAGCAGGGCGGCGGCTTCAGCATCGGCGGTAGCCAGGGCGGCTCCGGCTACTACACGGGCGACGGTATTGGCTACGGCAGTGGCTACAGCAGCAGTGGCTACGGCGGCGATGGCTTTGGTGGTGGAGGGTATGGAGGAAGCTCTCACGCGCCAAGTTACGGGCACAGCGGCTACGGCTCCGGCTACACCCACGTGGTGCAAATAAACGACTACGAGGGTGCCGGCGACTATGGCGGTGGCGGCTACGGCGGTCACTACGGCGACCCACGCTACGGATTCTTCCGGCAGAACGAGTCCAAGGGCGGCGGGAAGGGAGGTCGGGGCGGTGGCAAGGGGGGCAGGGGCGGTGGAAAGGGGGGCAGGGGCAGGGGCCGGGGCCGGGGTGGCAAGGGCGGCCGCCGCGGCAAGGGACGCGGCAAGGGCGACGACGACGTGCAGGTCATCTACGTCCGCGACGAGAAGAGCGGCGGTTACGGCGGCGGCGACGTGTACGACTACGGCTACAGCCACGGCCACGTCAAGTCGTACTACGGCGGCCAGCGGCACGGCCTCGGGCCGGGCGACCTCATCAAGTGGGCTTACGTGGGCCGCGGCGGCAAGCACTGATGGGCGCGCTCAGCGCGCGGTTTGTTATCTTATCCCGGGATCCTTCTCCATGAACTCTCCGATTACGACCCCGCGTGTCCTTTGTATTTCCCACTCTGGCTTTGTGGTGCTCCAGGTGCTAGCGTTGCTCGCCTTGCAGCGGGTCCCGCTGTACGCTATGCCAATTTGCGCGTTAATGCTTTAGGAGTGTGTGTGTTGTATGCTGGGGGCCCTTGCCACCGATGACGTTGATGCCGTAGGCGTGTGTGTTGCTTGCTGGGGCCCCTTACCACCGATGCCGTTTCTGGGGCCAGACATCACCGCACGCACAAGTCTCTAGGCCTTGTTTTTGCCCTGCTGAGTACAGATAACCGCAGCTTCTGTCACCTCCTCTCATCGTTTCAGTGGCTTCTGTTCCGCAGGAATTGCATACTTGCTGAACCCTTGGGCCATTGTTTATCTGTTTCTCAGACAAATAGGATCGTTTCAAAAAGTGTGCATGTGTAACCAGTTTGGACATTCTTCTCTTTTCATGCACCACAGTAGGGTTGCAATATTACTGTTAAATTGTTACGCACGAAAGCTCTTCTCAACACCGTCCTTATTCTTGTCCCTACGTCTATGAACTCGCCTTATACTTCCTTGAGCCTCCGATTTATAAAAGCCGGACCGATGAGATCCTAATATAGTGCTACCTTGATCTCCAACCACGTTATGTTGCTTCCTGTGACGCAGTCTTCCTTCAGTGAACTTTCCAATTACACATAGTTATCTTTTATTCCGAGGACTGCCCAGGCCTTCAGGTAGTATGGCATCTCCTTTGGCATTTTTACAACCATGCGACAGTTGGTCTAGCCATTAAGTTTGTATGATAATACGTGATAAGGCCCGGTTATATCTTGAGCTGCGTGAAAACCTTAGAACCTACCAATGTTTTGAAACCCGAAAAGTATCGTCCTTTCTTAGATGTCTTCATAAGTCATGCTTAAAAGCGTAGGCACCATCAGAATGGTTAATATCGCATTCCATCTTTCTCCGTCGCAGTTCATACCTACACCTAGTCCGTTGTACTTTTTAATGTTCAGCCCTAGCCTCTGACTTCCATCCACAGTTGTTGTTGCATGATGCTGTCGCAGTCGCATGGTGCATGATCTTAGCAGTTTGTCTATCCTTTCCCGTGTGTAGGCTACCGCAGATGTTTACGCGTACCCGTGATATCCAAAGCCCTCGAAGATCATCTTTCTCAACGTTGCCTTTGACATTTGGTGCTTCACAAGACGCTATCTTTTTGTTTGGGCTGATATCTCACATCACCATGTGGTACGTTTTCTTGTTAGCACCAAGTGACCAGTCCCCTATTTTGCGAAAGGAAACAAGTTTTAGTTGCCCTTTAAGATGTGTTGAGTGTATCAATGCCTTACAACTTTCCAGGGCGTTTCGTGTAAAAGCGGCATGAAACCTTTTTCTCTTCCGAGATCCCCTGGCAAATTCGGTCCTTAATAAGCGACCAAAACTTAAAAGACTGCTCGTTGCAAGTGGCTTCCTATATAGTTGGCTTTTCTACCAGCAGGTTTTCTTCAGCCAACACATTTCTGAATATTCCACCGCAGCAAAGTGTGCTTTACCAACTGCCATTTCGATCTCCCTTAATCGGCGTAGGGCATAGGCTTACAATTGTTCAGTTATCAGTTTTGTTTTAGCTGCAGCTGCAAAACAAGTGAAAAGTAGTTTCACGTTCTTAACAGACTCCTAGTCTCTGTATTTCATCTGCGACATCGCAGTTTATGTATCACAGATCTGTCCCTGTAACTGAAATTTCTCTGACATAGTCATCATGGTAAACTTGTCCACGAAAGCCCATAAAGTGTCATTCGTCTAGTTCTGCCAGAAATTAAGCAATATGCATTCACTACTGCACAGCCGGTTAGCCGGTTAAGGAGTCGGCCGGTTCTTCAGTCACGAGCAAGCCACGGACTATTTTCCCATATACAACCTTTCCACGACCAGTCTCCCCGCTCACTCCTCTTGGGGATTTGGAAACCACCGCGTAAAGGACACTGGAAATGGGCTAACGGCTGGAGCTCATGTTCGCAGCCGAATCCATTCCAGTGACTCCGCCACTCCGTGTGACTAGCCTCTATTCGGCAAACCTGTCGGTTTGGGGCATTCACGACCAACCGATTCACATAAAACGGCTCCAAGCCATTTCATCCACAAGTGATCTTTCACTCTACGAAACACTAAACGACGTGTTTCGTGCAGCACTTTCCAACAATATTGGAGAGTGTTTCACGAACTGAGCTGTACGGCAGACTTGTTCTGTTAGATTAGACACATACCGATGGCCTTACCAGCCTGACCTGAAGTCTCTTTACGCAAGAAAGCAGCGGCAGTCAAAATTTAGTTTATCTGCGTTGCATGGCAAGCGTCAAATGTGTATCGTCTCGAGATAAGCCTGTGGAAAAGGCCTGTGCTAAACTTCCATTCCCGACCTCTGAAATTCCGTCGCTTTTGCATCACAGTGACGTGCGATCTGTACCCGCGTCGTGTGAATGTGCTGACTCAACGTGTTAGCGTCCGTTTTGTTTTTACTCGACATCGGCAGCGTATTCTCAGCCTTTCTTAGGTACCAGTGCGGACGAAGCTTTTCACAGATCCTCAGCCCCCACCATTGAGCCACCATCTTACATTTCCGAATAGTTTCAACGAATTCAATACGACTGCGTAACCCGTCTTGAAGTGTTCCAACATAAGCACGAGCTATTGCCGGGTCCGGGTATTTGGAGTCCATCTCTCTCATGTCGGGGACTACATCCAGTTCACGGTCGAGCCCGTGGAACCTTTTTTCGACTCCCTTGAGCACTTGACGCGCCAAACATCACCAGCTGAAGATACTGAACATATTAACTACAAAGCATGCGCCCGTCAGGTGTCTTGGAATTTCGTTTCCTATCATTTCAGTATGTTATCTGCATCTCTGCCATGTTTTTGTGCTGTCTCAACTTTTTGTTTCACTTCTGCTCAAGCCCACACAGACTTTCCTATGCCATTCTTTGGTGCTATTTTTCATGAAATATCTATTTTAAAGTGAGATAACGATGACTACCATTTTCTGTTTCATGTCCGTTACCGCCGGGTCTCTACACTAGCGAGCAGAACCATTCACTGTCTTGGGTTGAGATCATTGCCTTCCCACAATAATTTTGTTCTGGGTGTCCAACTCCACCTTAACAAAACCCCGCCTAACTTAAAAAATGCATGGGCCTGCCGTGGCATTGCTCACATAGTCATCTTTTTAAAGGCGTACAAGCTCTTTTGGGAGAAACTCTTCCTCAGAGTATTCCTCAGCCTCCTCTATGTTTAACCCCATTTATCAAATATTCTTCCAAACCTTAAAACGGGAAACATCTATGTTGTGGATGAATTTTATTGCCTTGACCGCAAAGTTGATAAAGAGCTTCATGTATAATTCTAACACTACTTTTAATCATATACACAGGCCTGTCACAACAGTTTCGCATTTAACCACGTTTTTTGACCCAAAAACCGCAAATGACCCATTTACAGCAGCATCTGAAGCTGTTAACAGCATTGAAAGCCCTTCACTGATCATTTTTTTAAGGTCTGCTAGTCATGGCTGCCAGGTACCAAAACTTAAGCGCGAGTCGGATCCTGCTATTGACAGCGTTGAGCGCATGAATCCTGCTGCAATGTAAGATCGCGCCAATGACGTCGACGCGCCTCAGATGCAGTAGCTTATGTCCAGTGTACAAACCCTGCAAAAGCCCGTACCAAAGTCAATACTTCATCAAGATGTTGCCACTGTCGCGTGCATAAGTGGTAAGGCCAGCCGTTTATACGCCCAAAACTGGTTGGAACACAAGATTTTGTTCGCTATGGAGCATATCGCGGTCATGGAGGTTGCAAATACCTGTCGGTGCATAATGCGTCTTGTCTCGCTTCGTGATTGTCGTATGTCTGCAAGCATGGCGTGACCGATCCACTGAATGTATTCTGATGGCCTGTACAAATAAGATGCTTGGCCTTGTTAACGAACGTTAACGACGGCGTTTGAGTTCTCGCGGCACCCGCCCCGCCTCATCATTGACTACGTGCGGAGAACGCGGGATTCGAAACGCGGTGGTCTAAAGCGTAATGGCTTCTCGGGACGACTTCACTTCCGACGACTTCCAAGTTAAGTGCAGGCTCTTCGATTCTCGACGCACGTTCAACGATCTGTGGGTCTAAGCCGCAGCGGGAGTCACACTGACGTTTCTAATCGACATGACCATTGACGACACATCGTCCGTGCCCTGCCGCGCCCGCCGCCGTCACCATGGCAGCGCCGCGGCTGCTCGACCTCCTCCACTCTGCGCAGCCTAACGGCGCCGCCCCGTCCCCAGCTTGTCACCGCGCTGGTGCTGGTGGCCTGCGCCGGCGCCGGCGTGAGCGCTCACAGCGGCGGCTACAGCAGCCCCAGCAGCGTCGTCATCCACAAGCAGGCGTACGAGCAGCCCATCCGTACCACCTACCACATTCCGGTGCGGCACTACTCGCAGCAGCCCGTGGCCTACTCCGAGACGTACGTGGACAAATATGGCAAGGAGCAGACGCGGAACAAGGTGCGTTACGAGCAGCAGGTGCACTACAGCCTGCAGCCAGTGCACCTGCACCAGACGGTGCAGCACGACGTCGTCACGGTGCTGCTGCCAAAGAAGCGACGCCGCGGCCACGGCGGCGGCCACCACAGCCACGGCGGCTACCACAGCCACGGCGGCTACCACAGCCACGGCGGCTACGGATACCACTGACTGGTGCGTTGGTACCACTGCCGCCGCCGCCGAGGTGGCGCAAGGTGGCGTCAAGGGTGCGTCAGAGACCTGGCGAAGGTAGAAGGGGTGACGCGTTCCGGCTCTTGACAACGGGTGGGAAGGAGCGGTAGGGAGGGGAAGGAGCGCTCCTAGCATCTTGGATGGTGTCAGTGCGCAAGGTATTATTAATGAATGTGGCACAACGTACGGTGTAACATCGGTAGAGTGTCATATCAATTCGGTGCTGCGCGCGTGACGGTCAAGGCATATGACAAATTCCATCTGCTGATGACACTGGGAAGGTCAACAGGCCGGCACTAATTCGATTTGAACAAGAGGAAGATATTGTGTACATTGACCCGAGGTATCCAGCACGATGATTTGCTTTGGTCCAGCTTTATGCCCGCAGAGAAAGCCGATCGATTGCGTTTTTCGTCGGCAACTATGCCTTGGTTATATTCTTTCCATCTCTGTCTATATATTTGTGCGTACTTTGATATTTTACACATGTTTACCGCTGTGAAGATGCTCTCTTTCCCACAAGATATCCGATTAACGGTTTGGAATGCGCTGCAGCTAGGCTGTCATCAATGATTTGCGTCTACAAATGACAATGCTCATTTATTTGAGGTAATAACACAAAAGCGCTTTTAGTTCGTACTCTCATTTCACCCTGTTGGCTCTACTCACCATGACCCGTGTTACAGCTCCCACGCATGAGGTGTGCAGCTCACTGACCTCTCACCGTAGCACTCAGGAACAACGCTATCGTGTAGACTGATGAGAAGGCTTCGCGAGTGTGCTTTTGGAGTCGCAGTGAGCTTGTCCGGAGCGTGAGCCATCTGTGCGAGTGCTCAAGCTGCTTGTTATGTTTTATTTTGAATGTGCGCGTGCACGCGCGTGTGTCACATATGAAACGTGTGACGCTGGGCGTCAGTGGAGCTGGCCTCGCTTGAGTCTGACAATGGGCTACAGATGTTTTGTGTGTGCGTGGGTATAGATGCGTCCTATTGGATCTAGATGCCTGCGATGGATTCGCCTCAGATCAATACAAGGTGTCCTCATAGTACATCAGCGTCTGGCATCACGTCTGGCTGCAAAGGTGACTGGAACCTCATGTGCAGTAAGAAAGGCCTGATTAAAGCTTCATTTTGGACCACGTGTTTCATGAGCTCCAGCAATCGGTGGCCTTGTCATTAGTCCTGCAGGGTTAAATGTGCCTGAATCTGACCAAATGAACCAAGAACCATCAGACGAGTTTCTACGCATAGCATATATTGTGTATAAATAGAAACGTAGTCCTGACGTGTGCATATGTCATACATCAGAGAACGAAACACACAAACTTACATGTCTCCACCAACCACGGAAACGCGTTATGAAAAGACGACCTTTACTGCATAGGCCTTTCCCAAAGCGACATAAAAAGGACGTCAGTGCACCGTGTGCATAGGTCACACGTGAGTATGGCCTGACGCGTGTGATGGCCTAATTCAAACTCGTCTCCACGGAACATGCCTATGCCAAGTCGCGCGCGGACCCAGAGCACCGCCTCCCCGCCTCAGCGACACACCTGACGCGGGCGACGGTGATGGCGTCCCGGCGGCAGCAGCTTGTCCAGGAAGGGAATTAAGGTTGGATATGTGAGGTCGTCACTGAGCAGTGGCTGCGGTATGCAATTTCTGCAAGCGCATTTGTGAAATATCTGATCAATTCCAGAAGAAAGCCATAACAGAAAAAGTCAATCGGCAATCCTGCAAACTACGCGTTGAGCAAATCATCACCTTTCCCTGTTGATTATACAGTACGCTACAATTGGTCTGCCAAATTTGGTGGTAGATTGCTAAAATGAAAATTCCACATTCGAAGACATTGAAGCACGCAACATATATGATGAAGTAGGTACATTTACAGTTACTGGTGTGCTATTTGAGTAGAAAAGACTGCTCTAAACAACACATTTTCTTTGCGATAAGGATATCAGTACGTCATTGTTTGATTGCTTCATGGAAAGTTTGTATGACAGCACTCACTTGTAGTTCTCCAACTTCCCAAAAGGTGGCCCGCGGCGGTACTGGATGTGTGCTGAACTCGTATCGTTAGGCATTAGGCATGGTTACGCGCTTGTCCTTTGTCTCTTTCTCGAGGTATTCTTGTATATCTATTCGGGAGTTTAAGATGCTTATTTGTACTCATATACTCGGTTATAGGGGCATCCTTAAGCTAATCGCTTACCCGTCATTATTAGGTAAAATGTATGGCGACTTACATTATGTAGCGCAAAACGTAATTTGGTGTTGGGAAGATGCATAGCGTGCGCAATATCGTCTGAAAGCCATGTGACGGCCTGCTACACCTGGAAACGCTCATGGACGTCAGATATGAACGACTCGACAATTATACTTTTTTGACCTTGGAAACCGCATGGCCAGTAGAATGGTGTGGACTGAAAGACATCAGTATGATATCATAGACGACCGGATAACCTTGAAATAGTCTGCACAAAAAAGGGTGTGCGTCTTCGCGAGCGTATAGCTCACACACTGGAGGGTTTAAGGTCTTGAGGAGGACAGGGCTGTGGACTGTACCAAATTATTTTCAAGATGGCTATTTCAGTTTAAAAAGCACACAAGTGTGGAACACTTCCTTAAATTACATTCAAAAAATTACTCATGGAAACGTAAATCCCTAGCTGCATTACAGATTAGGGTTGACATTATGTGACACGGAGATGGTACATCCAGGTCATCAACCACTGCGCCACCATTGCTTTCTGCACTCACCTGCAGCGTGTCTCTCCACTTCTGGAAGCATTGAAATGGCCCAATGCTGATGTACCAATATGTGAGGGTGACATGGCTATGCTTCGCCGATCGCCGACTCAGTCATATCCGCCCGAACGCCTGCCAGACTCTGTTGTTCGCGGCAGCGATGTGTCCAGTCGGAGTACCCGGGCCACCCCTGCTCAAACTTGTGCAGCCGTCACGCGCGCGAACGAGAGTTGACCTCCAGCTGAGGTCGGGGGGGGGGGGGGGAGGGGAGGGCGAAAGTGCGACTGACTGCGGGAGAAGACTCAGACGTGGCTTGGGAAGGGAAGCTGACGTGAGCCCTAAATATCGCAAGTGGTGGGCACGGGCGCTAGAATCAGCAGGGTTAGGGAGCTGGTCTCCAAAATTTATGAGGGTTTTAAACCGGCCCTATGCAGAGATCATGTCCCACAAAATAAATTGGTGAAAGGGGCTGAGAAAGGAGAATAGGTAGACTTATCCTGAACATACAAAAATGGTCCTTCCTCCCAGATCTGACGCAGTGTCATCTCAAAGTTGGAGGAGGACCTGGCGTCCTCAACTGGAAAGGAAAGCTACACTTTTATGAACGTTGGCTGGAAGAAAATAACCCCCAAAATTGGTGTGGGTCGCTGCTAGAACTGCTCACCAACCCATACGCCTCCTGGGAGCAGAGCACGGATCCACCCAGTTTGGGAGGTTTCTAAAGCCTGGCATGGGGTTGGCAAACGGAGCAGATGATGGCCGGAACGAAATGCACGGCGTAGCCAGGCGTGCAGTATACATTCCTATAACTAATTTCTACATTTTTCTACGGCCAGGTACACCAGCAATCGAGCGAGAGACACCCAATGTCACCTTATCCGAAACGCATCTCCGAAACCATGCACTTGGCTGAGATGCAGCGGACTCTGAAGCACTCACGTGTCAGATTGTCGCAATCAGGAAATATCCGAAGTATTTACAGATTCGCAATAACTTGCTCAGAGTCACCAAAGACAGATGTTTTGGACACTGATTTTGAATACCGCCTGATCAAGCAGTTTGCATGGCATTACCTGGCAACTAATGCAGCACAAGTTTACGGGATTACGCTTCTTGCTGCTGAAGGCCGCATGAGGCTACGGCCAGTGGTGGGAGGATCTTGGAAAGCGAGATGGCTGGGTCGGACCGGGTCACTCAAGTTGAAAATCTGTATCATAGCTCAAAGATCTATGCTCCCTCGATTTGTGGCCTCGCTCGTAATGTTGCTATCATGCCTTTCATCAATCCACTCATCCTTCCCAGCACAAGATTTTTACAATGCGGCAGGAGAGTAGCTTCTTGTTTAGTTGGGAGAAGGGCCTCAGCCCCTCTGAACTGGGCTCCCGCCCGGCCCCAACTTTGAGACGAACGCGGGTCATGTCCGGGGAGAGTCCCGTTTGCTGGCGTGTTTCGGGCAGACCGCATCATTTCTCACTGGTCAGTGCCCGCACCTGATTAAGCGAAATCACACTCCTGCGATAGGATTTTTATGTAGTTAAGTACTTTAGTTAAGTTAAGAACTAAGGTCCAGATTCGACATCAGGCAACCAAGACATAAAGCAAGGGCTCACAACCTGTTGATGCATGGGAAGGCATCATGCTGCACAGTTATGCACATGTTACTACGAGGGAGGTCGCATGCCGCGCAGCTATCCCTAAACTATCAAAAATATATTTACATAGATAAGACAGTAGTATTAGCCTTATTCCTCGGAAAAACCAGGAGAATGAAAATACAGTTAGGTTGATACTTCGGCCAAACGCCTTTCCTCGAAACAGTAGCAGAATTCTAGGACTTCTGAAGGACTTCTGAAATTGTTTGGTTGAAATTGGAAGGACTTCTGCTATTGTCTCGAGAAAAACGTGCCGCCGAAATATCAACCTAACCATATCTCCTTTCTCCTGATTTTTCCGAGAAATAAGACTAATACTACTGTCTTATCTATGCGACTAATGCTCCTCGCTAATGCACTGAACAACTTACATAAAAAAATATTTAACTCGTGTGGACCGGCCTGACCCGACCTGGCCGACCTCTGCAGGCTGTTTCGCTTGTGATGCCCATTTTAAAAGCGCAAGTAAATATATTAAAAAGAGGCCAAGCGTGCGTTGTCGGATAAGCATTGCTTAAAGTTATCGGACACTTAGATTGGCGTCTCTCAGGTCTTCTCACACAGCCAGTGTGGTCTATGAGCTAGAGATGCAGGCCACCACTCTCCGCACTCGGCGGCTGAACGCTCTGCTCTCCACGCTCTGCTCTTCACACTCTGCGGCTGATCGCTCTGCTCTCCACGCTCTGCGGCTGAACACTCTGCTTTCCCCGCCCTGCGGCTGAACACTGCTCTCCACACTCTGCGGCTGAACGCTCTGCTCTTCACACTCTGCGGCTGAACACTCTGCTCTTCCCGCTCTGCGGCTGAACACGCCATTTACAAAGCATCGACGGGGGGGGGGGGGTCCTAAATCTGGAAAGTGCGTTCGTGTTCGGGGTGCCAGCCTGGAGGCGTTTCGCTGGTTAGGTGACACCAACCATAAACACAGAAATGTCGAACTGTTGAAAATCTGTGATGCCAACACGCATTTAATTCATGTTGTTTATGCATATCACAGGGTTGTCAAAATTGACACTTAGAATGAAACACAAGTGAATTCTTACCTCTTTTTGTGAACAGGATCGTACAAGCAGCTGATAGGTCCAAAGAAGCGTTCTTTAAATAGAGCGTATCGGGCAATATAAATAAAACGCATGATTAAACTCTTGGCATCTTTCTCGCGTCTTAGCAGTAAATACCCGTGAGAGCCACTACAAATGGCAACATAACTTTCTAGTCAGTACCTACCTGTTGGGACTTCCTGCACGGCTGTCTGTCTTGACCAAAACATAATTTGACAATGTTCGATTTCTCTGAAGCATTTCTAGTGTTCGGTGAATCTCTGGCATGATTATAGTCGTTGCATTAAACACCATTGTTTGATATATCTGAAATAAACACCATGTTTGATATATCTGCAATAAACACCATGTTTAATATATCTGAAACCAGCCGTAATGGATAACGAATATTCGACCTCCAGCCATCTACAGGTTGTATACATTTTCGAAAAAATGCTTGGGGGATAAATTCGTGCATCAGCCCATACAGCCCGTGACAGACAGGACTAATCTAGACAAGAGCGTGAACATTGACGCCTTAACCTAACCCGCGGTGCTCTCCGTTTGAAACGCATTTAGCTTAGCAATGCGATTTCGTTTCACATACTAAGGAAGCTAAAAGCCAAACGGTCTGAGTCACTATCAGCTAATCAGACACACACACACACGGCCAGGGAGCTTTTTAACGAGACCTGAGGCGGTCAACAGGTCTTTCAATATGGCGTGGGACACGTCCAACATTACTTGGGTGGGTTCGCAGAAGCTACGAAAGGCCTCGGCACGAATAGTCACGGAGGCAGTTCGTGGTACGGAATCCGGCCTGGACCGTGAAGCCAGTCAAAGGGCTGTCAGGACGGCCAAGAAACGACGCAACGGCCATGGCTCATGTGCCACGAAATGGTTGCCTTGGTGAGGACTCGCTGGTGAGAAATGCGCGTGCTTCATTCATTCGCTTCGTTTTTTTCACGATATCACCCTTCAGAGTTGGAAAAAGTCCTGTGCGACTTGTGGTAAACCTGTGCGGCTGTGGTAAAACGGTAATTGGGTTTGCAAGCACTTCGAGGCTGTACGGCCAGAATCAGCTGTTTCGTGGCCGATCCCAGCTGTAGTAAACATCGTAAGAGCCTACTCCAAGCCAATCAAAAAGCGTGGTATAGCCTACCCGTAGCCGGGATCTATTGTAAACCAATCCGAAAGCTTGTAACAACTCGGCTGTGAGACGGCGCCTCATCCACCAATCACATTGCGACTTCTCGCGCCCGCTCCTAGAGCTGCAGATATTTCAACATTTGTATGCAAGCCCGCTTGGCAGCCATTAGCAGTAAAGACCTGATACTCAGCGAGAAATTGACAAGCTGGAGTGATCAATTTAAATTAAATTTTCGAAGCTGTGAATTCAATTGCCAAAATCTCATTCACATAGTCGGAGCACGCCTGTTCAAAACTCAATCGCCCTGGAGATTCGCATAAATCCGGGCCCTCTACTAGCCCGATCCACTCGTCTCATTCAGGAATTCCCCACAAGTGAGGGAGCGGATGGACTGTGCGAGAGGGCTGTCGTGAATTTGTGAACAGAAATTGCGAAGGCTTCTGAATTCTGGTGAGTACAATGCTAATTTTCCCTTTGAAGATGCCTAGTAGCGTTATGAGCTCTTACGTGTGGCAAATGCTCAACGCAGGGAAGTTTCTTTGTTCGTCGGTGCCATGCTGCCCTGGGTGGCGCAGGCGATTTTGAGCTCTAAGGAATGTGGGTCGAAGAACTGCCATATGCCAGCAGCCAGTAAAAATGTTGTATTCTTCAGAAGTGTGCCGAGTCCTGTTGTGCTATACTAAAAGTGTATGCCTGTCTGTAAAAAGAAAGTTCTGTTGCCATTCAGCTCCATTTTCCAACACACTGACGTCGTCCGCCCGGTATGTTGCTAAGGGCCAACTAACGCACTCTTCAGGAGAAAATGTGAACTGCTATGTTTGCGTCTGCAGGTTACGGCCGCGAAGCGCGCGCATATCGAGTCGTGGAATTCATCATCTTGTACAGCAACTTAAACTTTGTAAGCACAGACTCTTAAGGTAACGTTTGTGCCGGATGAAGTTGCCTCACCGTCAGCGAAATATCCTATTTTTATGATTTCGATCGGCAATCCCTATGATATAAAAATATGGCCGGAGTGCGTTTGTAGACAGCTTGCCGCGGCGAGGCTACAGTCAGGTCCGCAGCCGGATACTGTGAGCCTCCAAACGGTTTATTTCATGTCCAGCAGACATGATTAAATGATACGCTCCGTGAGATTGCACCGGAATGAATCCCGCTAATTAAAAATCAGGTGCTGGTTTGGCTCATCTCTGAACACCTGTCATTGTCCAGACTTGAAGATATTGAATGCGACCCTGCAACCCTGCTTGTAGGATTGAGTTGGCAGCAGTTGTTCACGGTTCACGCAATAAAGCAAAATAAACAACAGTACTGAAAACACATGCTGCTCTTGTGACTTGATTGTACCTCAAATCCACGGTCAGCGACTATGCTGTTTAATGGCTGTCGTCGAAACGTGACAGTTTTCTTGCGGTATAGCTTTATTGGGGCTATTACTCCGGAAGAAAGAAATCAAGCCCTAGATGTTCGTTTCTAATTGTTTTAAACCTGTCCTTTAAATGTTTGGATACATATTTTGGTTTCATGCAGTAACGTTTTCAAACATTTTGTAATTCACCCAATTTGAATGCATGGCGCCTAATTAAAAATGACTTCAAACTCCCGGGAACAAAGCCAATAAACAAAAATCCTCGTCGCGCATTTTTGGGATCCGAATACTATTGCTGCAGTGCAGCGTGAAATAGACATCACGTGACCTGACGTTAGTCGGGTTAAGCGCTGAAATTATCAACAACGAGACGGACACAGTCGCACGATGTTTCATTGAGATATGCGCCAGAGTCCAAGTGAGTGTGGCTGGGTGACCAGGAACCACCTTTCTGAAAGCACGTCAGCTGTGCACTCTGTACAGCCCGGCTAGAGCTCGAGGTGTCACTTGGCCAGTGAACTCTGCACATCCTACACCGTCGTGACTGCACTGTGCGCCCCTGAACGTTTGAACTGCACACTCTTCAGACGTGTATTGGCGGCCCGTCGGCGCAGAACTTCTCCCTTTCGCCGCCGCGCCACAATGGATTCTGTTGTTCTGACTACCGAGTCCGCTACCGTTCCGGACACGCGGTGGTTGTTGGGAGGCCGGGGGGGGGGGGGGGGGGGAAGGGAGAACGGGGTGGGGCGGGGCGGGTCCGGGCCATCACGACCACGTGCGGAGTGAGTCCCCGACACCGTCCTGCGCGACCGACCTCCGCCGCCGTGAGGACCGGCGAGGGGGCGCCACCTGACGACGGCAGCCCGCCTCTCACGCCTTCGGGGGCGTCCTCCATCGGTGCGGTGGGGCGACGAGAGGTGCTGGCTGGCACGAGGCCGGGTGACGGCCGGCCGTTCGACGCCCGCCGACTCGGTGGCCCGACACGCGCCTCGGCCGGGCGCTGGCGCCGGCCGGCCACCACCATCAGATGGCGCTGCAGGTGTGCTGTCTCCAGCCGCGTCGTGGGGTCCGCCACACCGTGGCCATTCTGGCAGATGCTTCATGGTCGGGAAGAGCACGGGCGACTGGGTTGAGTTGTGACGTCATCGTGAGGGGAAATATTTAATGATTGACTGGATGATGCAACTTACGGAATCACCCGACCAAAAATCGCTTCAGAATGCGTATCAACAACCAATGGCTGGCTAAAGCCACTGCCAAAACGTTATTACTTTCCGTTGACGGCTGCTCGCGTAGAACCTACTTATAGCTAGCACAGTGTCAGCGAAATAAGGAATTATTTCCAGACCGTTTCCATCTAATGCTTTATCTATGATCAACACTTTCATAATCAGCGGAAACGTGCCATTTATGGAATATTTAAGCTTGAAATCGGAGGTGAATTGGAATGTGTATGCTACAGCTTGGAATGAATTAAAGGTGATAGCCTTTCAGAAAAGAAAATGTCGTCATTTCGGCCACAACGACTAGCATTTGGGAGCAGGTCTCAAATAGTTAATGATAAAGATTCCCCCTGGAAATTTTTCTCTCTTCTTCCGGACTACGAATAAGCATGCAACGTTTATGTGCACATGCTCTGCAAGGAACACATCTCGAATAAATATGTCCGTTGTTACGTGCATACTTGGCTTAAAAAGGCGATGGAATTGATGCTGTGTTCATCTGTGTGTGTGTGGGAAATGCTCATCAGCCGCTAGAACCTATTTGCAAGTCATGTTCACTAGTCACGATTCCTCTGCATGGAAGAGTGATGCCTGCACAGGAGTATTTTATACACCCTCTGCAATGAACGTCAAGGGGCTAGTTAGTAGTCAATGTCACTGTACGTGCCGATAGGAAGTGTTCCATTGGAAGGGCCGCCATCAGCGCGCTGGGTGGCGGCGAGCCACATTCAGATGTTTGAAAGATCCTAGCCAAGCTGATGCTGCGAAACGTGGGTGCACTGTGTTACTGCTGATGCCATGCTTGTAGGCCTCCAGGCAGCCATCCGCTAACATTTGACTGGTGGATTCGGCCGTATTTTGTTGTTCGATTTTTATTGCGCTGAGCCCTGACATCGCTCCATCAACAGCCGAATGAAGAAGATTCTTTGACGCAAGAAATTGCGGATTGGTGGATTAATTGGTGGTGTTTTTGTCACTCCGACTGCCACGGATGTCGAGTGACGACTGCCACAGATGCCGAGTGACAAGGCTGTGTGCAAAATTCCAACTCTAAGCGGGAAACGCCAGGGCCACATCAAGCTCTTCCGCTGAGGCGCGCTGCCTGCACACACCGAGGCTGCCACCATCCGAAGTTCAATACATCATCGGCGCTTTTCGTTGTCAGCGTTGTTAAGGGCTGCCTGCATCTTTCAGGCCGGTTAGATCGAATGACGGATTCTGCACCTGACCCACTGATTGATTCTGCACCTAACCTACTGATTGATTCTGCACCTGCCCTACTGATTGATTCTGCACAGACTGCATGTGTCGGTGTTTCAACTGAAATAGGCAGGACCCTGACCCTCACCTGGTGAGAGGAAGGAGGATGCTTTGCGATTGCTCTTTCTGAGGCGGAGAAAAACCGGGAGTGACGGTGCTGTCGAAGTAAGCGTAGGCGGCGATGGGCTGATTGCTCACGTTTCATACAGATGTGCCCGGCTATGCCAGGTCACTGAGTGGGGGATGTTGTTTTGAAGGGCGTGGCGTCATGAGGCCATTCTACGCCAACGTTTTTTTAATGGTTTATGGCTGCTCATGTTGACTAGAAGCATTTAGGTATTCCGTGTGGAGCGATAGACTCCAAACAGCTCCTTGGTGGCAGGTCGGTGGCATGCGCAGGAGACGTCAATGACCCACTGGTATCTGGTTTTGCCTTAGATGGTCTCTAAACGCCTGAAGAGCATTATGTTGTATTCAGACTACGATTTCATCTTGCTTCTCAATATTGGTTTTGGTCGTGGAAAACTTAAACTTGTCGATGTTTTGTTCTCAAGCCTTATTTGTGACCCGGAGTGCAAGGTCACTTAATGCTCTAAATGGGGCGAACCGGACGCCGTTGGATTCGCAGGCAACAAGTTACCCTTGGCGTTTAATATACATTGAAAATGCAATGTGTCATACAGGGCGTAGTTTTGCGAAGTGCGTTGCGGGCGGGGCATGTACACTGAAAAATATGACACCTGCCCCCAAAATTCGCCAACATACTGGTCTCTCTCCGAATTTAATTCGCTTTTCTCTGAAAGCTAGGAAGTGGGAGAGGTGGAGCCCAAGTTGAGGAGGCTGAATATTATGAAGATGATTAAGGTGATGAGGGTGATGAAGATGTCAGAATGACAGGCAGTGGTATATATTACAACAGCTAGTTCCTGGCGAGAAACTGAAACATTTGGCCGAAATTCAAGTTTTCATTTCCCAAGAAGCGGTGCTGTATCCCGTCTCGCGCGCAGGCCGCTGGGTGGGGCGGTCCGCGGAATCTTATCGATGACAACGGTATGCTTCTTTTCGGTTCAGATCTACCCCGCTACGCATTCCAACGCTACACAGCCACAGATGACAAGTATTAGGCGGCCTTGACGGGTTTCCTACGCCAGGGCATGGAACAAAGGTCGTGAAAAACACGGCAGTGCTGTTGGGTCACTCCGGCCGTTTTTGGGAAGCGCCTAATCTCTTAAAAATGAAAGTGCATAATCTCTTAAAAAATAATCTTTGCCTAATCTCTTAAAAAAAACAAAACAGTCCAATCTCAGAATCTACCGAACGCTTATTTTACACATAAGTGGACGAAGCCAAGCGAAATCATCTACGAAATCGCTTTTGGCAGTAAAGGTCAAGGAGCGCGTGAAAAGGATTCCGTGAAATTGCCTATTTCAGTTGAGTATCTGAGCTCTTCATGACGATTTCGGCAACAAACCAGTCTTTACGGTTCATGTTCGTCTGGGCTGATCCAAATGATCCTGATTATGAGGGATTGAGGGCGCGCTGACTATTATGGTCACCTCTCGGCGCCGCCTGATCCTGGCACCTGCGTTTACGCGCAC